GAAGCTGCTGTTATATTATAATGTGAAATGTATATTAATGTATATTAAGCAAAATATTTACAGTATTATTTGTCCCAAATAAAAAGTACAGCTTGATTGAAACTGCTATGCAGTTTCCTTCGCTTTAGTTCACGGCTTAATATTTTTTTGCTATAAGATAGAATGAGAGAGAGAGAGAGAGAGAGAGAGAGAGAGAGAGAGAGAGAGAGAGAGAGAGAGAGACTTTATCCTTTTAATTTTGAATGATCGATTTCCGGTTTTGCTTGAGATATTAGCTAATGATATTTTTGTTCGCGGTAAACAAATATTTCTATCGGATATCGGATGTCTATCATGGCTAAAAAATTTGCGGTACCTCATTTTTATGAGTTTTAAAGTGCACAAAAATCATTTTCTCGCGGTAATATCAACTCGAACGTTGTACCGATCGTACAATGCATTAAAGTAGCGATGGAGAACTATTCCTCCCTTCAAGCTTAAATATTTTTTATTAGTCTTCCAATTAATCCATATGCATGTACCTTCCATTTTTTGTGACAATCATCTCGTTCGTGATGCACTGGAATCTGGTCCAGAGCTCCCGATCTTCCAGCGACAAAGACAGCGGCAATCCTTGATTCCCTGAGATCGCGACAGGAGGGCCGAGATTTTGTCTCGCAATCGAACCCCGCTCTTCGCGATCCTCTCGATCCTCCACAGGACTTGTCCGATTCTGTCTTCCGCCGCGATCTCGCTCGCGATCTCGCTCCTGCTCGCGTTCCCTTTCGCGCTCGCGATCGCGTTCGTGGCACGAAGAACGCGTTGGAGAACCCGGCGTTCGCGGCGCGCCCGCCGGTTGCATCTTGAATGTTCTCCAATACGTCACTTTGTATACTTTGACCCTTTCCTTTCACCCTTTCCAATATATTTTCAAATTAAAAATTTAATCGAAGTCTCTTGATCGAGAATAACAATATAAATTGTTATATATACAAGGACAAAAAAGTACAAAAACTACATGCGACGCGGTATATTTTCCAGATAGACTCACAGCAGGAAAGAGGGATGTGAAAATTTGATTTACTTTCGCTGTTGATCGATTCGCGGATTCTAATTAAAAAATCCAAATTTGCGACGTCGTCCCACGAGAAAAACGGATGTGATCTTGCAGAGGACAGCGGAGGGGGATGGAAAAGCGTCGTTCTCGTCGCGGCACCAGACGTCTCCGTCGGCGGCGGAGGATAGGCCGCGTTGTGAGAACGCGCCGCGTGGCCGTAGACTCGTAACACTTGGGCGCGATATTTCACACTAGCCGGTGAAGACTCGCCGAAGACTGACCGGCGGTATATCTGCCTCTCTGTTCTCGCTTCGCATCCTCTCTTTCTCCGTTTTTCAGTGGGTATGTGACCGTCAAGGAGGCACCGGCTCGAGCCGCGTTCGCGCTTGCCGGGTGCTAATTACTCGCTAAAATAGGAGCTCACGGGTGCAGCATGGCGGTACCATTACGGTATCCATTGGTTGAGGTCGATTTGCCGGTTGCCGCATCGTCACAACGGCGGGTGCCGCCTTCGATGTCATGCATCTACCAATGGACGCGTGAGTCGTCTTTACAAATCCACCGTGATTGGTGGGTTCGACAACAAACACGTCGTTTGCTAGTCCGCCCACGTCGCCGGTCGCCGGGTTCTCGATTAGTCCTTACGGACAACGTACACGGATCCGCACGTGGTGAACCGAATCGTTGCCGTAATCGTCCTTTTGATTAATGTCGGTCGGTCGCGAATTCATCTTGATCGAAAATATATACGTCGCACGGCCGATGGGAAGGAATCATCTTACCAAAGTCGCAAGGAAGTGTTCTTCATTTTCGTGAAGCGAAAACACGGCAATGCGACATGTCACCTCTACGAGTTAATATTTGCGTCTGTTGCACTTGGGAAAGTATGCAAGATGTATTTGTTCCTCGTGAGAGATGTAAGTGTTGCTCCCGTTGACGAGGCATAACGGGCCTCGACATAGCCACACTAAAAAAACTTAAGAAATTGTTTCTCTGTCAGTTATTCTAATTTCTTTTTAAATATTCATTTTTAATATAAGATAGCATTAATTTCCACATCAAAAAATGAAATAGAATTAAATTGAATTAATTACTTTTCTTTTTTATTATATATAATAGTAATTGTCAACGAGCAATTTGTTTAAAAATGAAAAATGATTACACTCTTGTGTTTGATTGCACTCTATTTCCTTTTATCATTATAATTTGTTTTTGAAAGGAGAATGTTGAGTTTTGACTATTCATCAAAGTAAAAAAGTTCTGAGATATACAAATTATATGTTAATTATATATTATATTAAAAGGTTACTTAAACGGAATCGAGTGATAAATCATTTATTTTAATTTATACGGAAACATTAAGAATAATAGGAAAAATTGCGTGATAAAATCTAATCACATTTATTGATAAAAATTATTAAGTAAAACATTAAGACATCCCAGGAATTAGTAACTGTGCATGTTATTATTTAAATGACTATTTAAGTGTTATATATTTAAGTAAAAGAAGTTAGAAGAGATTTTCGAGCAATTAAGAATCTAATATAAATTATTTGATTTCGAATTTTAGAACAATGAACATACTTAAGTTATACGTGTTTAAATACTAACAATATAGTCTTTGTTACTTGAATTCTAGAATATGTTCATATCTAAATTTTTAGATTTATTATCTTTGATATACGATTTCTTCTGATAACATACGATGTTTCCGATATTTTTCCGTAATAAGCGATACACTACTCGATTCTATTTAAGGCTCGATTTTTTATTCTCCGGTTAACTTGTGATTAAGCTTAACTTGATGCTTTATTCAATAAGCTTCATTTATGATAAAAAAAAGCCCATTGAGAAACATCAGGTAATGAAACGTTAGGAGTGAAACATTAAGCTTAATCACAAGTTAACCAGATAATGATAAATCGGGCGCGCGAACGTCTTAGTCTTTAATGTAATACTTATTTCACGTGTATCTCGGAACTTTTTCATTTTAGAAAAACTTAACATTCTCCTGTATATTTTATATAACAAAATTTTGCAAGCATTTCAATAATTTACTTAAAATCTCGTGATTCGCATCTCAGTCTCAGAAAGGAAATTCGTGAAATTGACTTGTAGTATGGTAATTTCGATATTTGTCGATTATGAAAATGGAATTCCTCGCCTATCACAAACAAAACGATCGGAGAGGGGGAGGGGGAGGGAGGAAATAGGAATATGTTAGTCGTCTGGAGTCAAATGACAAAAATCAACAGAACACCATTCGACCGGTCGCACGACGCATCGCGAGCAGATATTTGAGGAGGACCGTTCTCTTGTTTGCCATCGCACACGGTTTCGGAGTTCGGACAGCAATCGCCGGACGTGAAGACGGCTGTAACCCTATCGGTTATTTGTGCTAGCAATTTCGTACGGAGAGCATGTACTCGTGATCGTCCTGGTGCCACGACATTGCCGGAGGCCGAGAGCGGAGCTATCTTTATTGAAGGCGGTCCGAGGTTGTCGAAGGTAATTACAATTTTCAGCCTGACTGCATCTGCGATTATTTGCCAAAAATATCGTCAGTTCCTGAGCCGCAAATTGCGCGGTGACATCAATCGCGAGATCTTCTTAAAAGTATATATGAAGTCGAAAACGAAAGTGTCATTTTTATTCTCCAAGTACTATCCATATCCGGTAGTCGTAAAAAGACAAGAATCTTTAGACCGTCTAACTTTCATATAAATATTTGAATGCGAGCTATATATAAAAAAAAGTTGTATACAACTACATAAAAAGAAAAGGATGCTAGTTCCTTTGAATTTAATGCTGACGAGAAGTTTCTAGAAGCATTAGTCTTAATTGTAAAAATCATAACTTTTATTAAAACTTATAAAACTATCTTTCCTACATCTCTTTACAACAAAAAGATGTTTTCTTTTTACCTGCATTGATCATAATCTTCAATGTAACACACATTGTAGAGTTAGGATATTCATCTTGTCTTAGTTCTTTCGACTGGCATATGATACACACTTAGAAATTAAGAGATTTCGAAGATGGGTTTATGCCCATCCGCTGCACGGTGGCGTATCATAAAAATTTTACCTCGAACGACTTCTACACAACCTACACAACACTGCAAAGGTGTTTACGATAGGGGTATTCTTGATTATTGCTACCTGCCGCTAGGTAGTCTTTAGACACGAGTCGGGAGGTCTTCGGCATTCATTTATACTGTTTGAGGGATACCGCTATAGTTACGACCGCTTTGAAAAACCGCTTTTTTGGCGTTCGTCTATTTACAAACTGTATCATACGTCGAACATTTTTAGCGGAAGTTGTGCGTTCCAAACGTCAAAAGCGGCGACGTTTACTGGACAAAGATATCATCATCTTCCAAAAAGATTTCAACTTATTATAATGTTTTAGCAATCAAATCGTTGGTTAAGAATAAATTTGCGATAGGATGAGATATGCAAAGTTTTAAACATTCAGAGTCATTTATTACGCGATATTGTTGATTTCTACAGGAAAAAATGATTTTAATATATAAAAAATTTGATTGAAATATCTAAAAATTTAGCTAGATATATATAGATCAGAAAATAATTTTGTTAAATTAAATTGAAAATAGTTATGTAGGACGTTTAAATTAAATATAATTGCTAAAATATGAAAATATCTTGCTTATCATGCTTGAGATTTTTACATAATTATTTTGATAATCCAACAAAATTATTTTCAGATCCTATATAATTAAATTTTTAGATGTCTCAGTAAAATCATTCTTTTCATAAATTCGTATAATGAAGAAAAGAAAAAGAATAAAATCTAAGAACTAAGATAAGAAATATACCGCAAATGTGCCAATTTCTAAAAATTATATGTTTAAGTCATTGTGACAACTCGTCGCTTAACAAATAAAATTTGAATATTTAAACGAATTACTGCTTAATTATTAATAATGGTATCAACTTGATTTTTAAAAATTTTTTTTCTCGTTAGATTTATACGTGTCCAAGTCAGGTGAATTTTTATCCTGATTCATCTTCAGATTGATAATTTCGCGTTCCCGTTGAATATCGGGATCTCTCAATTCATTTACACTGATGGCATAGTTTCGTCGTGCACGATCACTAATGATTCTTTCGTATCCCATATGATTACCAAGCAACATCGGGAATTCCGTCGGATGCGGGATGGTTGCTTTTTGCTGAATCCACTTTGTCTGATTGGAATAATCCACTAAAGCCGCGTAAGTCTGCATAATTTCATGAAAAATGAAATTAAAAATCCTTAATGTCAATACTCAAGTTCCAGAATTAAAAATATGACTAATTGTACTTTTGTAGATTTGAATGTTGAAATTCAGTAGATATTAGTATTATCTGGAAATAATATTAAAATTTAATGTCATTTTTACCACAAGACTATCAGGAATTCTGGCTATTGCGTGTCCGGTCTGGGTGAACCAACAATATTCATTGGGCAAAATATGCGATATCAATCGTCCATCTTCTGTGAATCCGTGAATAGTATTGGCTCCTAGGATACTGTGGGATTTCGATGGAAAGGGAAACAGCAAGGGAGTCGTCAAGTAAGCTTCCGGAATCAGCTGGGAAAAAAATAGACATACTATTTTGTTTTTTTTTTCTTTACTGTCGCATAGACATCTGTTTCTTTTATTCTTGTCACACTGCTCGCGATCGTTCCAATCGAATGAGAGTAAAGTTATACATTTCAATGTTGATCTTTATGTCCATCTTATATCACAGGACAATTATACCGCAAATGCCAATTTATCTACATATTCAATATATTTTTCATTTTAAAAGGACATTATATCTTTAATATTCTCGGCATCAAAAATTTTTGACATTTGTGGTACTTATGTTGCATAAAACATTGTAGGTCTGTTGTATAGGTCGGTTTGTTCTATCATCTTTAGCTACCGTTGCTTATGATATTGTATCACACAGCGTACATTTACGTTCATCTGATTAATTAAAAACACAGTATTCCTCATTTAAAGTTATCTGTATCTTTCAACATGCACAGTACATCAACGCCAAGGAGTTTTTTTTATGATGTCACATACTATTGATATCTAATTCAGAATTACTTCATCCTACGAAGATAAAGTCATTTTTTGATTATGATATTTACGCACACTCCAATTTGACAGCTGTTTAAATATATTTTGTAAGGCGTGAGATTATGCTCATTCCGTTGCAAGAAGTGGAATATATTTTTTTCAATTTTATATATATTATATATATATGT